TGAGACTGTAAATTGAAACAGAATTTTACAGAGTGACTTAAATGAGTTAGAAAATACAAATTCTTAAAAATAATTAATTTTGAAAATGAGCCAAAAAGAGAAATTGAATTGTATGAGTCTGGAGGGGGAAGTAGTAAAAGGAAAGACAGCAAAGGAGAAATTGAGAAACAGAAATAATTGATAATTAATCTGCACAGTTTCCAGGCATTGGTACTTCACTGACACAGAAAAATTGTTTTTTTCTGGCCTTTTGGCTGGCATAAATTTCTGCTCCATGCGGGAGGTGTCCTTGGGTGATTTTAATTATGCAGACCCTTCAGATATGCTCTCTTCCATTCACCACTTCAGCAGGAATTCAGTCTGCTGTTGGACATGTTATTGCTCAGGTTATAAAACAACTAGCCTAGGTATACTTTTGAAAACTCTGATTGATCTGCCATTGTTCTAGACAACATACAGAGCCCATTTTTGGTTCCTTATGGCCAGTTCAACACATTAGGCTCCATGCTGTCTTCATATAGGTGATATAGAAAGTGCATATAGATGGCAGTAGCTAAGGAAAAAGGGTTTGAAAGACACAATTATATTTAGCAAACATACTGCTTCGTCTTTTTCAGCAGTATAGAAATAATGATGTGGATAGACTCACTTTTTTTAAAGTGCCAGGAAGTGGGAGGTGGATAAATTTTATGTTTTCCAAGGTTAGAGTGGATAAACATCATTTACCTCAAGTACATCACGACAGCAGCTGAGACCTTGACAAGCACAATAGGTCATTCAGTGCAAGTGTGCAGATACTGTCACCTAATCATGCAAGCCACATCTGCTTCTGATTTGCTTTAGATAACCAAGCAAGTTACATGGGAAAATTAAAAAAAATAATAATTTGAACATTCAGAAGATGTTTAACTTTTCCAAATTTCTGAAATTGCTTCTAGCAAGATAAATTTTAAGAAGGTAAAAGTTACTGGCCAATCAGTACTTTCTAACAGCAGAGAATCCAGTATTTTAAATGTTCCAGAGCAATGATATAGTACATTTTTATGCTTTATCATTTTGCATTCAGGTGAAGATGGGAGACTGGCATATGAACAGCTGGACAAATTTCCCCGAGAATTTGTTAAAGTTGGAAGCCGCCGTGGAACTGAAGCTGCCACAGCTTTTTAGATGGAAAAGAACCTGCTAATAATTAACAGGCATTAAAGTAGGATGGAGCTGCACTTCAGTGTGGGGAACAGAAGGAAGACTTTAAAGAATTCTATGAGAATGTTCCAAAATGTAGCAATTTACAGACTTCTTAAAGAAAAGCAAAATCTAAAATCCAGCTTAAGGGTTCCTATTGGCTCCTTGCTGCAGCTCATGATGGAACAGTTGGATGCTGAGGAACAATACTTTCTTGACTGGTTCTAAACAAATAATGTAATTGCAGTTATTCAGCCTCAACAGACTTCTGTGAGGTTTTTAGAATTTGGCATCTCCATATATTTTCCTATTATATATACTTCCTTGAAGTTGTCGTGAAAGCTTGAGACGTGTGATACCGTATCTAACAAGGACAATCAGGAGGCCACCTGAGCAGGCATGCAAAGAAGTTTTCCCTTGAATCCCAAATGAAGTGTCTGCTGCCATGCAGTGTCCCCAGCAACACTCCAGTGGCAGGAAACGCTGCTCAGCTTTCTCAGTGGTGTCTCGGTAATGAAAGTTCTACAAGTTTTGCCTCCAGAAACAGCGTGATGCAAGCCCTGGGAGGCGTCACTTTGGTGACTCATTCTGAATGTCTCCACTGGGCTTTTATTCCCTTCTCTTGCCCTCCAGCAACAAACCATCATTAATCCAGCAATTTGTGAGGGGGATCAAACAATCATGTAGGTTTCTGAAAACTAAATGAAAAGGTAAAGTGCATTTATTTATTCTGAGAAGAAGGAGTGAATATCGCTAATTGCACAAGTCCCCAAAACCACTTTGTTCTGCAAGTTGCAGGCAGGATTGGATTTCATACATTCTAATTAGTGGAGCACAGTTTCTATAGAGTTATTTCAATATAAAGAACAGAACAAACTCAAGTGGACCTCGGAGGCAATAATAAACAGAGGGGGAAGTGAATGCACCTCCCCTCCCTGCCCTGCGAGGTTGAAAGACAGCAAGTGCTCCAAACTGTTGATTACAAGCCTTAAGTTAACAGAGGAGGTGAATAGAATTTAACAGAAGAGTGTTCCTGTGCTGTGTTCATTATGCATGAAATGCTATTTAGATGTCAATTGAAGTATCCAAATTTGCATAGATGACATAGAAAATATTGCAAACAGTTCACATCAAAAGGAAACCTTGTGAGCCAAACACTTTGGCAGGCAGGGGTCATTAGTTTTGGTTTTTTTACTGTGAATGTTACAAGAATGTACATATCTGTATATTTATAAATATATATATTCTTCCTTTAATTAAAGAAGTACATTTTGTACAGTGCAAAATGCTTACTTGTTTACTGAGGGATATAAACACTTTTGCAGAAGGTGAAATAGCCATGTTATGGTTTTTATACTACACCTGTCCCATCAGTTGAATTCTTTCAAGGTGTCCTTTTGTATCTACTTTTTTTTTTCTTTTAGTTTTGTGGCATTTGTACTCACCATATTTCCTATCACATTTAAGTTATAATAAAGATTATTTTTTAATTACTAAGCACATCAGTCCATATGTATAGTCACTCTTTCCATCAGCAGCCTCTTCACTATCAGGCTAAGTTCAGAGCAAGCCAGTTTTGTGTATTATTCAAGATACTTATCAAGAAAGGCTCCACAGGAAGGACCAGAAAATGTGCTGGAGAGGCTCCAGGATCGTTACCAAACCTACACTGATTACTCCTCCCTTCTGTGAAGACAGACTCACCTTAGACAGAAGACGTTTCTTCCATTCATTTTCCCTTTTCAAACATTCAGGCTTACAGCTCACATAGAGGTACTGGCATCAAATGGAGGGTGTATCTCATCTCATTGTAGTTTAAGGCCCTTTGAGAACTTTAGTAGCCTAAAGCTGACCTGCTACACCATTACAACCATTAAGAATCATGCATACAGTTCAAAAGAACCAGTTAGGAAAGAGCAAGTTGTGCTCTGAATGAAGTCATTGAGAAAATGCACAGGAATTTTAGTATGAACAGTTCCATCAAACTTAGTTCCTGTTGTGGTATCTGAGACTGACAAGCTTGAACCTGGGATACAGATGTATCGAGGCTAAGCTTCACCTGGAGCATTAATACTGTTTTAGAAAACTAAATACACAAATAACCATCTTCTAACAGGATTCATGACAACCGTGGCAAAGTGAACAGACCTTAAAGCTTCCAAAACCTGAAGGCAATAAAAATGACCAAGCCATTCACTTGTCTTATAGCTTGTACATTTTAATGCTTGCAGAGCTGACAACGCTACCTTTTGCTGGCATGATAATGCACTCCTTTGTGGAGTAGGAAAAACCAGATGCACAGAGGCGAGAGGGTGAGAGCATCCATCACAAGGCTCATGCTTACTGACTACTGAAGAAGGAAGCAGCAGGCAGTAATTAGAAAAGCTCTTAGGGCTGCAGCAGGCTTGCTTGGACAAATTTAAAGGTCAGGGCCAGCCCAGGAAAGTGTGTTAGGAAAGTTCCATACCAAAGTAGCTCAGCAGCAGTGCAGATGGAAGAGATGGGCAGCTTGCTAGGAGCGCACTTGGCAAGGGGCTTTATCTGCTGGTGAAGGTATCCTCACCTCACGCTGTGGTTTTCACTACCCCTGTCCTGCTGCCACTGTCTCAGCATTTGGCCCCATAAATAGAAACCTGTAGCACCCCTACACTACTGTAGCTACAGCAGCAGCGTGTTAGGCTGCCCAGTTTCACACTGCTACTGGCAAGGCTGTTGTATCCAGCAGAACTTCAGAAAAATTATCCTCTATAGCTTCACCCTATCCTGTGTCTGAGATATAGAGAGGAATGTGGACTTCAAAATCAGGAGTCAATACAACTGCCAGACACTGTATCTTAAATACAGCTCCCTGCTTTGCAGTGGGACTGGCCTGAGGCGAGGATCCACAGCACCCAGCTTCAAATGGCTGCAGTGGCACTGGGGACAGGATAGATGTGTCCTCACAACTGATCACATTTCATCAGAGGCAGCAGTTCAACAAGCAGCAGCAAATTAAGGATCATCATAACACTGTTATCAGTTGCTGAACTGCTTTGTGCTATTACAAGAATGGAAAGATAGATGAATAACACAATAAAAATTCCCTACTAAGAAAATAAAAATTCCCTACTGAAAAAAAACCATTGATGACAATGCAATTCAGTCTTAAGAACACTGGCGTGCTGGAAAAGCACAGCCTTGGCAAAGTTTGCACATCTTATTAAGTTCTCAAATCCAGCTCTGAAAACAACCTGAGATGGCCCTTAAGGAAAAGTAAATGAATATGCATCACACATTCTTAAAAAAATTAACCTAACTTTATTACTTATGCAGAGACTGCAGCATAAGCTGCAATACAGGACTATGCTGCAAGTCCTCACGTAAGCAATCCAGTGCCAAAAACCGAGTGAGTTTCAGCTGCCCAAACAAGTAGCTACTATGGTCTAATCAATTTCACCACACATTTTCTTAGGTACAATGGCTGTTTAGCAAAAATAACGATTTTTAGCATAAACCAGTTACGAGTTCTTCCTCACACAAACAATGCACCTGGCCCCATGGTTTGCTTGTCCCTGTGCAGCTGCTCATTCTTGAAACATCTGACACCTGCAAATGCCCCACCTCCCCACACTTTACTCTTGGCTGCAATTCAGCCCTGTTCAGACACACACCTTGTATGTGAGAAGTGCTAGGACACTGTAGAGACATCCCACTTCCACACAGCCTGAGCTTGCTTCAGTCAAAGACAAGATTGTGTCTCAGCTCTCTGCAGTGAAAAGGAATCAACATACTGGTAGCACAAACACATTTGACTTCTTGGAAAGAATCCCATTTGGAAGTTAGGTTCCAGAACTGATAGTTTTATTGTGCTAGATACCATGTCCTCTCCAATTCAGCTGGATATGAAGGCTGTCTTTAGTGATGTTGATTTTCAGGTGCTATATAGCTATGTTCAGTCCAGTCATGTTATGTCCAGTGATAAGTGAGTTTTCCCTATACTTAAAATGTCAGATGGCTGTAAGATAACTAATCACAAACAAATCTGTCTAATTTCTACACCTTTGGCAAGCCATTAGCACAAAAATACAAAGTTCCTAGACTTAATATGTAGCACAGTACTACTGCATGCATGTTCCAAAAAGCACTCAGGAATTTTCAGAACAATAAACTCAATCCTTTTATAACATCTTTAAACAGCAATTATTGCAGCCTCCTAAAACTGCTAAGAACATTTCCATATATTAATGTCTAAGAAAATAGGCATAGTCAGTGTTGGATCAAGGTTCACGTGACTAAGCTTGTATAGAGGTTTTATTACTATGGCACAGTTTGGCTCTCACACCTGGCCTTCTCCTGCATCAGTTTTGTTTTTCAGTTTATACAGCAAACTATCCTCTCTGCCAACAAACTGTACTTAATAAAACCACAGTAGCCTTGGTTTAAAATATTAGTATGTATTACTGAGTGGCACATCCATTTTTGATATAATTTCTTTTTCTGTTACAGGTGGGCCAAAGGCTGCAATACATCCATCAGTCTATTTGCAGAACTTCCATGATTTTATTTGTACAGTCTATTTCAACAGAAAGACCCAGGCTATCAAGGGACTGTCAAACATTTTATTTAAATAAAATCAATCCAGAAAAAGCATAAGATTTTAACACAATAAGCATTCCTCTTGACTGACCTGAAGATAAGAAACACAGATGCAGATACTGCACACAAATTTTGGTTTGTCTCCTTCTGGCAGTTCTGTTCCAACAACAGCACCTGTACTACAGGAGTTCACAGAGCAGGAAGTAAAACAGTGGAAAAGTTGCACTCGCTGCCTCATTTTGGTTTGCTAGTTACAGCACAGTCCTTTCTTCCCTTCTACAGCCTCTGCAAATGCAATATGCCTGATGTTTAAAAAATAAAGCCACCGCTAAAAAAATTAGAATTAACAATGAATAACTAAATTGAACTGCAAAAACCAATTATATCAGAATGAAACTTATGTTTCCTTATTTACTAATGTTAAACTACTTTGTTAGGAAAGTTGCTTAGAATCTGAGGTCTAAGTCACTTAGCAAGCATTATCCACTTCTTAACAGAAAACTTGGTTTGCTCTACAAAGCATTTGCTCAGCACCCAGATTTTGTTTTTCCTTCAAGACAGCATCAGTGCGAGATAAAGGACACACCTTTATCACCTTTTCAGCTCTGTGATGGAAAGGAGTATGTCTAAGCACCCTCTGGAGCACACATTGGAAGATACAATCTTGTGTTTACAAAGTTCACAAAAAACTGTGATGCTTCGTTTTCTAGCTAACATGCTGTGCTGGTTTTACCAGGTAAAAGTATTTTTTGAGGTATTGCCTGCTGCAATGGTTTCTGCATTTCCTGGATGTCACAATTTAAATCAGTTGTAAAACATCTCTTAACAGCCACGGCAAGTGAAACAGAAGGAATATAAAGGTGCCAATCTGATAGCTCCAGAGTCATTCACACATACCCTGAAGCAAGCACCTTTGGCAAGACCAGATAGATCTACCAGCCAGGATCCTTCTAATAACTTCTGCCTCCTGAAAGGCACTCAACTTTAAGCTCCTCTCAAGATATGGCAGCAGCCACCATTGTTAAAGCCTCTCCTTAGAAGGCCACATTACAGAAAATGTGTATCCAGCTTACTCTCCTGCTCCATCACAGACCATGCAGATGCCAGATAAGGTGCTCAAGGTTTTAAAGACTGCTTTCTGTTCCTGTAAACCCGTCAGAACCTAAGTACCTTGCTAAAAGGGTGTCTGGTATCTTGGTGAATACCATGACAGGACCTTGAAAACACCAAGTTTCCTTTCAGAATAGCTCTGAAGAACAGGCTGCTTTGTCTCCACCTAGTTTTCAACACAGCTGCTACTGGGATCAGGAACACACCACCTTCTCTTCATAAGTCAATGGAAGTATTACTAAAAGAACTGGTCTCATATTTCCTACTTAAGCTCTCATTCTGTCTCTATGTTTCCTTAGAAGGCAGAGGAAATTAATTTTAAAAAACTTGAAAAATCAAATCTAACTGACCTTTGGATTTTGACTTTTATTACCTAATCTTGATTTCCTGAAACCTCACCAACAGCACACAAATTTTTACTTTCCTCCTCCACCCCACTCTATCTACCAAGAAAGCAACTTTGTTCTTCAGAACTCTGCAAATCTAAAGAGTTAAAAACTCACCCATGCATTCCCTCCAGAAATTTGGAAGCTTCCATCTACAGTAGTCATAACTGATTTAACCCTAGGATTAGCCATTCCCTTGTCAATTAAGAGGCTGTTGTGGAAACGAAAAGATTTATTTATCAATTTTCATGTATCATGTCAGACCAACTGATAAGAAGGATATTTACACAACAGTTGAAATACACAGTATTTGCCTTTCATACAAGCAACTACATGCAGCCTGTAGTAAATTTTCCATGCAGTATTCAGATACTCCTCCCACTGCCACATAATTCCAGTTAAAAATACCAACATCTGTAATGTTCCCACAAGAGTTTCTATACCTGAGGTTTAGTATATCCTTTCAAGAGGAAGTCTGCAATTAAAAGCCACATACATAAGCCTATTTAAAAGATGTCATTCCAGTTGCAAATGGCTTGCTTCCTCTGAAGGCAGATCTGATTTATTCTCCCTTAAGCCAGACAATACTTGTGATGGCTCTTCTTCAGAAGGGCTGTCTGCCTCATCTCCATAGTTATGCTCTTCATTTTCCTGTCTGCATTCCTCCTCCTCCTCCAGAGCCAGACCTTCCAGTGTCTCAAGACTGTCAGGTGCTTGCCCAGTTAGCCTCTACAAATAAACAGAAGACAGTGAATTTAATATTTTTTCTACTTAATAATTATGAAATAGTGAAATAAGTAAAACAAGATGCTGCATATCAAATTAAGCAAGCTAATTACCTTCATTTGGAGGTTGTTGATCTAATCAAAGCATTCCTCAGTTACAAAAAGGCACAAGTTCAACTCAAATTACTACCTCTTAACAGTCAACAACATGGTCCGCAAGTTAAGTTTCTTAGGTTCTTCAGTAGGACACATTTTATCTCAGACAACCTAAAATGTGGGAAACTGATTCCCAAGTTTTTACTATAGTACCATGCAGGTTTAATTTTAGATAAATTACCATACAACCAGTTTACTCAATTTTTAGTTAGAGATAATGAAGCTACATTAAGTCCAGACGAACTTTAAGACCCAGCAGTCTCTAGCACTTGATCAACCTAGAAGTTCCTCACCTAACCTGATCAGAGGAAGATAAACAGGACTGTAAAGAGGCTGGTTTTAAAGCTTCTGGTTATTTGATGTATCCTTTAAGGCTCATTTAAGCCTCAGAAGGGAGGAGCTCACAACTAATAAGTGATCCTTAACTGTTGAGAAACTGCAGAGAAGTTTCCAACTACATTAGTTCAAGTCCTCAAATAACAATATTTCTGCCTGTAGGTTTATCGCTAACAAGCAGTATTCCCTGAATACCAAAAAAAAATTCAAGTACAGCAAACCAGGAGTCTTTCAAGCCTGATCTAAAGAACTGCACTAACTGAAAATTAACTTTAAGTTTTTCTTGATTAAACAAGTTACTTGCTATGTTATTTCCTCTTGTTTCCACTTCCCAGTCTAGTCATAACAGAATCAAAGTACTTGCTAGGCACCCAGCTTCACATCCCAGTTTAATGAGAGCTTAATCCCTGCAAAAACAATCTGAAAATCAAGGTTACACAGCTATGTAGGTATTTATTACTGTTTCAGTGGCTCTTACAAACAACCCACTCCAGATAGAGGAGCCATGGAATTCGTGACAAAACTACCTGCCACAAGGAACTCTCAGAAGGAGCTGTCAGGAAATTTATGAGTTTATGAACCCTAGAAACTTTGTGTACAGCTCTTTTCTGGTCAGGAAACTGACACTGCCCTGACAAAACCTTGAATTTAAAGAGCATAGCGATCCCTCTCTCTACTCTACTTTGTAACTTTGTTTCAAGTTAGCATCTCAATGGACACAGCCAACACCAACCTATTAAGAACACATGAATTTAAGTCATCCCAAAAAAGAGACAAATCAACTCTTCCTTCCCTTATCACAATCTCCAGCATGCTAATCCTGTTCTGTTAAGAGAGAAGGCTGAATCCCTCCTTCAGAAAACATCCCATCCTGGTACTCTCATTACTCCTGTAAAGTTCTAAGATGGGAAAAATTCATCCCCTAAAAGGAGCTTCATGACTCTAGAATTAGAGCAATCCTGCAGGAAACAGGTCAGAGAGCAATTTAAAATGAAGAGTCCTGTGAGCACATAACAGAAGTCATGATTCACTATAACTACCTTGGCTGGTTTCTTGCTTTTTTGTTCTACAACATTAATTGAAAATTGCTTTAAGTACCTCAATCACACTGGTCATATAATGTACATGCTCAGCAAGGGACATGAGCTCTTCATTTTCTTCTTTTAGGCGGGCAATTTCATCATCCTTCTGCTCGATTTCTTTGTGCAACTGAGTTCAAATGACAAAATGTTAGAAGAGGAAGACAGTAGCCAGTGATGAAGCAGTTAGGTGTCTTTGAGTAGCTAGCTACCTTTTCATTTTCTTGAAGCACTTCATACAGAGCCTTCCTCCTTTCTTCAGCCACTTCTTTCCAATACTGAGATGAAGGACTTCCTGAAGTTAGAGGCTACAGTAAGTCTGTGGTAAGACTGATTTCTTAAGAGCACCTTAAAATATCAAACCTGTATACAAGTATTCTGTGAGCTGTGAAACTAAGAACTCGCTCCATATAGTGTTTTCAAAGATTGTAGAACTACAATTAGTGACACAAGCTTAGAGGAAACAGATCCTACACTGCAGTAATGCCTGTACAGTGCCTTCAGGAAGCTGCCTCAAGCATGGCATCATGTTTCTCCTCAAGCCATCTTCAAAATGGCCACATTTGCAAATGCTGCTCTTCTTTGTGGAAGACTGAAGTGTTACTTCCAAGCCACTGTCCACGCCAGGCATAATGGTTCTGAGAAACTGTGCATGCAACACACTGTGCCACAACAGGCTTTCATTGCAACTTAATTATTAGTCACTGGAAAACTTAAAGTCCAGCCAAAAAAACTACAAGACTCCCTAACACTGCTGCACATAATGCTTCTCAGCTTCTGGTTATTATGAACTCATTCTTAAATATAAGACATCTATACTTTATTTAATATAGAGGATAAATATCATCAACTCCTGCTAGACATTATGAAAAACCCACAAAGCCCTTATCTAAATTACAAAGGAAATATGTTTCAAGTAGTATTCCAACAGCAGCATAGCACAAGAAAACATTTCAGGAATTACCACATACCTTTCATAATGAGATCTTCAGCTTGGATGACATCATTCTCATTTTCTTGCTCCTTGTCCACAGACACCTCAGCTTTACAAGCCTTTGAGGCAAATTTGTTATTCCAGAGTTTCCTTCTGACCGAAGATTTCTTCTGCATAAAACATGGACAGGTTTAAGTTTAGAGTAACATCTCAGCCTTCACAAAAATACAAGCTTCTGAGCCTGCACACTCATGACTACAAGTCCCCAAGTCCTCCTTTCTTCACATTATAGCTCTAGTTTAGACATCTTCCTTAATACCCAAATAACTCGGAAATTGCTAGGTTTTAATATCATTTATTACTAGAACAATAGTAAGCTTCAGTTTTGCCACACTAGTTAGCACATTTTTTTCAAATATATTAGTTTTCAGTTAAAAGCTCAAAAGCATTTCATTATGACTAGAAGTAATTGTGTATCTACGGATTATCTTTTAGTTCATACCTCATTACACCTGCCAACCAGGCTACCTGCTGCTGAAGGCTGGATCATCTTAAGAGTCTGTCTTGGGGCAGCACTGCATGTGCTAGCTGTGAGGTACTTCTGAAAAGACAAATCTGGTTCAGACAGTAGCAACTCTTCTTTACATAAACTAAAAATTAGGAATCCATCATGCTTCCATTAAGGTAACACACAATTCATCTTTTCAAGAGAAAAAAAAGACACTAGCCTATGTTAGGGTTTTTGCAAGGAAGGGCATCTAATTATTTGTGGCAGTGATAGATCTGAATCACATGAAGCTATGATCAATCCCTTCTCCTAGGAAACATTTACCTTTCAAAAAGTAACTTGAGTAGAAATATTCTGACTAGACTTCAAGGCCAGTGACTTTAACTGGAACTCTCAAACTTGAGTTTGAGAGCAGAAGTCTCAGACTCTTGGGAACAGAAGTGACTGCAGTTGCACTGTTAGGTGGTAAAGGCACATAAGGCAATAGCTATTTTTGTAACCTGTGAACACACCATCAGCCAGGGCTCATTTAAACAGACGTGTTAGTTTGATTATTCATTAAAATGGATCAAAAGTTTCCTTACTTCAATCCAGACAGGCTATTGTTTTGTCTAACCAGTATGTTTATCACCCTTCTTATCATGCATAAATGCCGCCTTCCTGCATCAAAGCTTTCTCATTGGGTTGGTTACACTGCCACCATGGGATAGCAAACAATGGCAGACAACCAAGCAAGAACAGCCAGGATACAATGCCACACCAGCGTGAGAAAGTCACCGATTCACACCGTACTTCATAGTACAAGAGCTCACCTTTCCCACGGTAGTTTCTGCCACCAATTATGCTACTGTTCCACTAAAGGACAAACATTAACTGCTGTGGGAACAAGAATCACACCGTGTGTCAGACACTGCTTGCTGCTACTTAGGATTAAAGTATACTCCGCCAAGAAATTATTGGCCAATACTCAAGTTAACCCACTGAAAGTGCAAAAAGCCACACCAAGCAATTCCTACCCTAGAAGCACTATGGGACAAGATTGCCATAAATCAGACCTATTGATTTGTAATTACCATTAATACCTGAAGCTTTCATTCCAATCACTATGCCTCATCATACAAGAGCTACTAGCCTCTTATTATATACAGCTTTGTACCATTCTGGTTAGGGCCTACATTAAAAAGCTCACCAAGAAAAGTTACTAACGTTTGTACCTAATGAGGTAACTCTTAAAAACCTAAACTTCCACCAGTTCCACGGCAACTATGACTCATGAGGGTGACTTTAGAAAGTGAACTGCCTTCTTGAATACTTCAGTTAAAAGATGTTCAACACAAGACAGATATAACTCTTCAGAAGTTCCCATCCATAAAGAGCAGCCTACAAAACCTATTCTACAACCCCTAAGCATAAGCCAGACAGATTCAGTAAGCAAAGGCACACAGTGAGGACAAACAAACCAAATCAACCCTGCAAAATTAAATAGAGTGTCAGTAAGCTCAGTGTCAAAGCAAAAAGGGCTTGCTGAGCAATAGGAAAAAAAGCAATCATAAGCACATATGCCCAAGCAGGACAGCATGTTCCCAAGCCACACTGTCTGCCAGGAGGTTACTCGAGCCAAATGGACATAAGCCAGGTGGAAGCACATTGCAACAGATCCCTTTATATTCCTTCAGTGGAGAGAGAAGCTTGTGTCAGACAGAAGTACCAGTGTCAAGGCTTTAAAGCCTATACCTGCAAAGATCCTGAGGACTTTTCTGTGGTCAGTTTCTGTTTCATTTTGGAATTCATAAGATCAACTGCAATAGAAAAACAGTGTAATTAAAACAGGATCCGTCAACTCCCTAAGTTCGGGGAACACTAGTTAAAGAAGACTACAATTTCGGGTTATCAGCTTTCATGGCAGCTTTGAGCAGTCAGCCATGCACGGCGTGGTCAGCGGGCTGCTCCAGAACCCCTCCTGAGGCTGCACCCGAGACACGAGCGGGAAGGCAGCGCCCCGCGGCCTTTCCGCAGGGATGGCGGGGGTGTCCCAGGCGCACACCCAAAATGGTTGGGGTTGGGAGGGGGGGGGAAGGGGACACTCACCCACACCAAACCCCGACCCCGCTCCCGCCAGGCGAGCTCGCAGGGCCCCTCCCTCCCCGCGCGCCGCCGCGGCCAATGGGGAATAGCGAGGCAGGAGCCCGC